CTAGACCAACTGCGCTTGATGGCACGACCACATTAAGATTTATATGCTAAACATATGTAAATTTATAACGCTAGTTCACAATTCCTCCCTGGCGCAGTCGGCAGCGCGTTAGGCTGTTAACCTACAGGTCGTTGGTTCGAATCCAACGGGAGGAGCTTTTTTTAAATAGCTTTTATGAATCAATGTAATGCTTTAATTTTTCTAGTTAACAAGCGCAGTTGGTCTAGTGGTAGAATTCTCGCCTGCCACGCGGGAGGCCCGGGTTCGATTCCCGGACTGCGCAGCCTTTTTTGCCACGCCCCACTTTCGGGGGCGCCAATAAATCGGGGAACCGCCTCCTCTCCATGTGGCGCCCCGCGCTGAGTGTCTCCCATGAAAATGTTGCGTAAAAATTATTGGGGGGATCCCTAATTATCATTTAGCGACAAAAAAATTTTTAATATATTATGAGTCTTTTTTGCGGCTCGTAATTCAAAGAGCGTGGGCTTGGACTGCGACGGCAAATCGCTTTGGATTTCTTATTTGTTTGTTATTCAATGCTTCCGCTCACCCTACCCACCTTGTTATTTCTCTAAAATATAGATTGTAATGTTTAGATATTATATGCGACTCCCAGTCGAACTGGAGCCGGAGTACAGCGAAGGATTCACTTGTGATAGCTGTGGAGAAGAAGTGATGAAGGGTCCATTCTATCATCAAGAGCAAAGTGGCACTGACTTTTGTATTTCCTGTGGAAATGAAAAGGGGCTAACACCATTTAATGGACTCATTGCTTCTCTTTTTTTCGCTGAGAATGAGACACTTTTACTGGATTCAGAAACGCATAGCGTCGCTCTCTTTGGATTTAAAATAGATTCAAGCACATACGGCTTCTTTTTCGATGATAAATCGAATCTTATCTTTAGAACGGCCTTGGATGGCTCCTTATCTGAAGTTTTGTACATCACAAACAATAGCGACACTATTGTGAAGACAAGTTTAGGAATTCAAGCATGGAAATCCCGATATTCATGGGTTGATTTGGATATAACTCACAATTTACCCATCGAGACCATGCTTCATCCATCACCGCAAGAGACAACCCCCTTTGGAGACCTGTTTATCAGTGACTTTTCAGCAACAGAAAACAGTTTTTCACTAACTTTAGGCGATGGTTGGGAGCAGTCCTTCAACGTGGGTGGAGGAACTGAAATAGTTCGCAACCATAATCACACAGTTATGTTCATTGTGAACTTCTCTCCCTCGACAGGCTAATCTGGAAAAGAAGCACGAAAAACACTGATACAACATTGAAATATTACAAAGAAATTATAGACTTTTACGAAACGAGGAAACTCCTGGCTTTCCTCCTGGCTCTACGCAGCGTTCACCTAATATATATATATATATATATATATATATATATATATATGTTCTATTATTTTACG